CTCCTCCTCCTCCTCCTCCCTCCTCCTCCTCCTCCTCCTCCTCCTCCTCCTCCTCCCTCCTCCTCCTCCTCCTCCTCCTCCTCCTCCTCCTCCTCCTCCTCCTCCTCCTCCTCCTCCTCCTCCTCCTCCTCCTCCTCCTCCTCCTCCTCCTCCTCCTCCTCCTCCTCCTCCTCCTCCTCTCCTCCTCCTCCTCCTCCCTCCTCCTCCTCCTCCTCCTCCTCCTCCTCCTCCCCTCCTCCTCCTCCCCTCCTCCTCCTCCTCCTCCTCCTCCTCCTCCTCCTCCTCCTCCTCCTCCTCTCCTCCTCCTCCTCCTCCTCCTCTCCTCCTCCTCCTCCTCCTCCTCCTCCTCCTCCTCCTCCTCCTCCTCCTCCTCCTCTCCTCCTCCTCCTCCTCCTCCTCCTCCTCCTCCTCCTCCTCCTCCTCCTCTCCTCCTCCTCCTCCTCCTCCTCCTCCTCCTCCTCCTCCTCCTCCTCCTCCTCCTCCTCCTCCCTCCTCCCCGAGGAGGGGCTCCTCCTCCTCCTCCTCCTCCTCCTCCTCCTCCTCCTCCTCCTCCTCCTCCTCCTCCTCCTCCTCCTCCTCCTCCTCCTCCTCCTCCTCCTCCTCCTCCTCTCCTCCTCCTCGTCGCACCCCGGGACGTGTCGGCAAGGCTGACCAGGCGCTTCGCCCGACGCCCTCCGCAAATGACGAGAGCCTTCCGCTTCACGGTTGGAGCGGCTTCGCGGCTGGGCGGCGGGCCGTCTTCGAAAGTGTGGTGCCGGCCTCCGCGCCGCGCGCCTTCGCGGCAAAAGTCTGCAGCGGCTTCACGGATACGGGGCGGGCGGTCCTCAAAAGATGGCTCTCGCCTTGGCGCCGCGCACGCTCGTCTTCGAAGCGTCCAGGAGCCTCACGGATGGAGGGCCGTGCCTTCTCAGAGTGTGGCTCTCGCCTCGGCGCGGCGCAGAGGTCGTCTGAAGCGTCTGCAACAGTTTCTGGGAATATGATGGCTGAGGTCCCAGAAGCAGTGCTTTGGAACGATGTGGGACTGCCAGGGCGCAACAGTCACGTGGATTCGCGGCGTGGAAATCCCGGGAATGGTGCTTTGGCACGTTGCAGGACTTTCAAACGGCTGCCTTCCAACGGGGCTTTTCCCTGAGTGGGATTTTATTACAATGTCGTTGGTGAGTCTTGCGTTTACACTGGTCCTCCTCCTCCTCCTCCTCCTCCTCCTCCTCCTCCTCCTCCTCCTCCTCCTCCTCCTCCTCCTGCTCCTCCGACCAGTCCACACGACCACTATTAGCTTCGGAGCATCTGAGCATCACCAGCCCTCGAGTCCCATCAGCCGTGTAATCCAGTCGAAATTGCGTTTCCCTCTTGTGATCTGCCGAATGAGACCTATGAGCCTTACGAGACGCAGAGGCCTTACGCGACCCCGAAGGCCCTGAGAATTCACCGATTGCCGTGATCAAAGGCACATTGCTAGCGATCGCGATCGCGAACACATTGTGGTGTTCGCAAGGTACGGCGGGCGGGTGTTGTGGTGGCAGGGTCGGGCTTCGCTCGCCGTCTGGCGGTTGCAATCACACTGTGATGTTCTATGTCACGTTGCGGTGCTCGCCCATAGGAGAGGAGAGAAGGGACGAGGAGAGAGGAGGGAGGAAGGAGGCGCGGGCATGCCCAAATGACTTGTTTCATTTCTTTTACATCATCGGTTTGTACTCTGGGAGGAGACTGGACGACCTGGGGGAGGAGGAAGCAGAAGAGGAAGAGAAGCAGAAGAACGAGGTAGCGCAGGGGATAAGGGCTAAGAGCAGTACAGTGGGAAAGCGGGAGAGGGAGAGCTGTTTGCCTTCAGCAAATCCACCAGCAGGTTAAGTCAAACCACCGCCCATTGTATCCACATGCGTGGCCTCCACATCAAGATACGCTCCTACTTACGAATGTCTTCCTGGTTGGTCCCCCGTACCCAGCGATCCGGGTGTGCACTCCCGATGTTGCCTTGCACGTGGCATGGGTCATTGAATATGTGGTATGTCTCGGCTCCGTAATCGAACACGAGACAGTCAGCGTGAGGGTCATTAGGATTGTCAGCAAGCTGCGGCAAGGCAGATCGCCAGAAACGAATTCGCCTTGTTTTGAAGTGTCTGGCACGTAAACTAAACGACTACATGTATGCTCCAACGGCAACACGGCAAGCATGAAACGGAACATGGGAACTCAAGCCCAACATCAGTGGGTAATCTTCAAGGTCTACATCCGTGAATCAGAACGGCTTGCCCCACTTGCCCAACGAAGACGAGAAGGACGAGGAAGAGGAAAAAGAGGACGACGACGACGACGACAACGACGACGACGACGACGACGACGACGACGACGACAGGGCCCAAGAAGGCGAGCCAGACGACGGATCCTGCCCACCCACAGCGCGGCCCCCGTGAGTAGCAATACACCTGCACCCCACGCCCTCCCATGCCCAGACGCATCCGCCACCGTGCCGCTGGGCACGGAGTGGGCGTGTCCCCAGGTCCTTTGCCTCGTCCCTTGAGTACTCCCTTAAGTTCTTGGGCTTTTTATGTTTTTCTAAACAACAAAAAAATCTGAGGAGTCTTTCAGGGACCCGGACCCGAATGTGCGAGATTTGGCGGGGCTTGGCGCGGCGGTTCTGGGCTCAGGCGCGTTTTCCCCGCGCGACATTTTTTCTGGCCCAGGAGGGCCCCAGAACAGGCCAGGAGGGCCCCACGAGGCCCCCGAGACGGTCCAAGAGGGCCCCGAGCCGCGAACGATCGCTCCAAGACGCCCAAGATGGCCTCCGGCTGGCCCAGGAGGCCTCCAAGACGCCCCAAGAGGCCTCCCGAGAGGGCCCCAAAAGGCAAAATCATGGATTAAATTCTTGGAGGATTTGGGCGTTCTCGCCTTTTCTGTTTTCCGACGCTCCAAGACGGCCCAAGAGGCCCCGACGACCACCTGAAGACGGTCCAAGAGGCCTCCAAGGGCTCCAAGACGGCGTAAGAGCGCCCCCAAACAGCCCAAGAGGCGCCAAAGACTGCCCTAGAGGGCCCCAACACGGCCCCACAAGGGGCTCAAGAGAGGGACCCCGAACCGAAAATCCTGGGCTTCCGTCCCGAGAGGCCCCCAGGAGGCCCCCAGGAGGCCCCCAGGAGGCCCCCAGGAGGCCCCAAGGAGGCCCCAAGGAGGCCCCTAAGAGGCCCAAAAAAGCGCCCCATCAGAAACGACACAGAGTCGACGCGCTTCCCTCCAGCATGGCCAGCTTGTCGAAGGTGTTAGATGCGTGGCAGCACCAGGGCGAGGCGCACACCGCGCTCGAGAGGGCGAAATGTCGCTCTCGCCCCAGCGCCGCACGGGCTGTCTTGGAAAATTGCGATCCCATTCGGGCACGGCGCATAGCTTTGGACTCGCACATCCTGTTCGAAGAAGCTGGGCCGCTCGACAGCGAGCGGCGTATTGCGCTCCCGAAGAGTGTCCAAACCCGGATTATTTCGTTAAGGTTGCGATCCCACCTTGGCGCGGCGCATCCTTTCCCTTCGGAGGCGGGGCTGCACGCGCACCCGCCTTCCGTTGGCGCGGGTGGGTGCGCGCTTGGCCCTCGCCGCACGTTGACTCGCTGATTCGCTCCAGCTTGCTGGCTTGGCCTCCTGACCCTCCTCATCAAACCCCTGCTCCCTCCTCTGTCCTCCGTCCGTTTCCTCCTTTTGCCGTCCGCTTTTCGTACTGCATCCTCCTCCTCCTCCTCCGTCGTCGTCCTCGTCCTCGTCCTCCTGTTCCTGTTCCTTTTTGTTCCTCCTCCTCCTCCTTTTTATCCTCACGTTCCTCCTCATATTCCATCCTTATCATTCGTCTTTCTCTTGTCCTCCTCCTCCTCCTCTTCCTCCTCCTCCTCTTCCTCCTCCTCCTCCTCCTCATCATCCTCCTCCTCATCCTCCCCCTCCCCCCAACCTATGCCTCCTCCTCATCATCCTAATTTTCTTCCTCTTCGTCCATCATCACCATCAGCATCATCAACATCATCATCACCACCAGTAGCATCATCACCATCACCACCACCACCACCACAACCACCAGCACCATAAGCATCATCAGCATCACCAACCGCAGCAACAACATCATCACCATAACCAGCATCATTAGCATTCGAATCATCAGCAGCAGCCGAAACATCATCAGTATCATCATACACATCATCAAAAAACCCTCATCATCAGCAGCAGAATCATCAACATCAGCATTATCATAATCATCGCCACTACCATCATCAGCATCGCCATCATCATCATAATCATCAGCATCATCATTGTCCTCATCAGCAACAACATCAGCATCATAATTTGCATTAACATCAGCATCAGCATCCTCATTAACTGCAGCAGCAGCATCACAAGCACCGTCATCACCCCTGTATATCTCATATTATTCCTCCCCGTCGCCCGTTTCATCGTCCTCATCCCCATCCTCATCACAATCGTAATCACCATCATCACCATCATGATCGTCATCATCATCATCATCATCATCATCATCAGCATCATCAGAATTATCAACATCATCATCCTCATCACCACCATCATCATCCCTATCAAAATCACCATCCACACAACAAGCATCATCATACTCGCAATGAGTGCCACGATCATGTTTACCACAGTTTCTTCCACGCTTCGGTCCATCCTGCTCTCGCCTAGCGGAGCGTCAGTTGCTTCTCCCTGGACCGAGGCAGGGCAGGGCATGAGCTGGCCTCTTTCTCTCATCGGGCGTCAGCAAGACTGGGCGTAGTGGAACCTGCTTCACTGATGTGTGCTGGGGGACGCCTTCCCCGACCCATTCCGCAAACCAGAACTGCCGTTGCCCGAAACACATACAAACTACGGCAGACATGGTTTAGCGATTCTACCTTCTGTTTTAGGGTTCGGACCCTATCACTATCTGGCCCCCTTTCTCTGGGGCCCTGGCTGCACCGAGTAAAAAGAAAGGGGGGAAGACAAAAGAACGGTTCGATCGGGCGGAGCGTCATGTATGCCCCATGCTTGACTATTTTCGTGGTGCCCTCCAGCGGCGACAGCATGCCGTCCACCTGACAGAGGGGGCACTGCATCGTCAAGCTGGAATCCTGTCCATTCCACCCCTTCCTCTTTTTGCTCCTCCATCCTTCCCAACAGCTACGAGTCGCCTGCCCAATGAGCCAACGGTTAAGAGGTTCAGGGCATTTGTGTACATGTCGACGTGGCGCGGGCGCGGCACCCCCTGGGGGGTGCTGGACGAATAACCCAGGTTGGCGTCAGCTTGTGATTAATAAAAGGCACGGGGGGGGCGTGACATAAACAAATATACGTTTCCCTGCTTAGGCGAATCGCGGGGGGAGGCGCCCGCCAAATGGAAACGTACGGCGGCGGCGCCGGTGATTAGCGCCGACGTCTGGCCGCCAGCGAGAGGGCGACAGGAGCGACGCCAGCGGCGCCGATTCAACGGAGAGGGACCGCAGCGCCTCCGCCAACGGGGCGCGCGGGCCAAAATGGCTACAGACAGCTGAGAGAAGAGGCGGGGGGAAGAGGCGCCCCAACTTGCGGGCGGCGCCGACACGGGTACAAAAGAGAACGGGAAGAAGGGGGGATGAGCGGCAGAGGCAGGCGAAAAGGGATCCCCCTTCTCCTTTCCCCCCTCCCAACCCCCCATCCACTAAAATATGTCCAACGACGACGTCGACGCCGACGCCGACGAGGCCGACGACGACGACGACGACGACGACGACGGCGAAGGCGACAGCAACGGCGACGGCGACGGCGACGGCGGACGAAGACACACTGCGGATACTGCGCAGGGGGGTACTGCGCATGCCAGCTGTAATCATCGACGACGACGACGACAATGACGACGACGACGACGACGACGACGACGACGACGAACGCACTGCGGATGCCACACGGGGGGGAAGAGGTGCGTAGGCCCGCTGTCGTCGACGACGACGCACGGCGGATGCCCCGCGGGGGGGGCTGCGCAGGCCCGTTGTCGTCGACGTCAACGTCGACGACGACGAAAACGACAACGAGGACAACGACGACGACGACGACGACAACGACGACGACGCGGAGACGACGGCGACGACGATGACGCCACCACGACGACGACGCCGACGCCGACGCCGACGACGCAAAAGACGACGACGACGAACAACCGACGACGACGACGACGACGACGACGACGACGACGACGACGACGACGACGACGACGACGACGATCGACACACGACGGACGACGGACGACGGACGACGGACGACGGACGACGACGACGGACGACGACGGTCGACGGACGACGGCGACGACGACGAGGACGACGACGACGACTGTGGCTCGCCAGAAACCTTCCTGGGAGGGTGAAAAACTTCGCCCCTGATGTATACGAACCCTACGAACATCTCGTAAACGAAAAGCAATCGTTGCGAGGTGCCGCGCAGGGGGGGGGCACGCGGCCCCCTCGGCGGCGCCCGCGACGACCGCGCGGCGCGCGCGCGTAAGAAAATATTCGCGCCCCGGGGGGTTCTACTGCCCCGGGGGGGGGGGCATCATTGAGCAATCGCGAGCTGACGTCACTCGGATCAGACATGGTTCTCACACCTGCGCGCGGCCCTCGGGGCCCCAAGACTGCCCCAAGAATGCCACGCGGCGGCTCCAAGAAAGCCGAAAAGCGACTCGGGGGCGATAATCAACGGGCGAAATGCTTCCAAGTATCCCAAAGACAGCCCCACGATAAACCCGAGAAGCCCAAGGATGTTCCAAGGCAGCCCTCAAGAGGCCCCCCGAAGACGAATGTCTAACAACAAGACATATGTGTTCGCATGTTTTCGGCTGCCTCGCCTCTTCGCTTCCTGTGGGATTGGAAACAAGGGCCCCTGATGCCTCAAGACGGCTCCGCGATCGCTCACGATGACCCCAACTGGGGCCTGGAAGAGCTCCAGGAGAGCTCGGGAGAGCCCCAGCGGCACCCCAGGAGAGACCCAAAAGAGACCCAAAAGAGCTCCAGAGACATCCCACGAGCGACCCCGGCTCGGGGGTCAACGGGCGGCAGGGCCCAAGACGGCCCCGACCGAACCCCAAGAAATGAAACGAGCCTCATTTTGGCACACACACACACACGTCACGCACGGCGTGGCCCAGGTGTCCTCAGCTGGCCCCCAAGAAGCTCCGAACCCCGAGGTGAAGCCAGGATGGCATCAACAAAAATGTTGCATCGCTTTGTACCGACCTTCGTCGAAGCCGTGCCCCAAGACAGTCAATGATTGCAAGACTTGCGCGCTCGTTACCCCTTGGGGACACATCATGAATCAAGCCCTGCGGGCTCAAAAATAGGCTCTAAGAAGACCCTTACTACTAAACTTCCCAAACTTCATTTGAAAATAGAAGGGCTGGCAAATCAATGCAAATGCGGATATCCAACTGTCGTTCCGCACTTGCGCACTACATGAGGGAGCTTGCCAACTACTATCAACAGGACATAGCGTGAGCCGAACTCGCGAT